GTAAAATTAAGGATTAATATACTTGTGTTTTCAGAAGTTGCTGAAATTACCCTCGTCGCTTCGCGACTCGGGAAATTTCGGCAACTTCTGAAAACAAGCGTGATATTAATCCTTAATTTTACTCGGCCCCATGCGATTACGTATACAAAGTCAGGAAGTCGCGAAGTGCTTCCTCTATGGTTATACTTTCGACAGGATTGTTTCCTTGGCACAATGCTCTTACTCCTTTGACGGTCTTGATGGTTATACCATTGACAAGGTAGGCATTACAACTTATGTTGCTTTTGGAAGAATTTAAGTGGAACATTCCTGTTTCCCATTTTCACCTACGGCAGATAGTTGGCATATCTCAGCTAGCTTTCCTGTGCAATTCGTTTCTGTGTCAAGGATAACGAACACATATTTCTGTGTTGAATCATATTCTAGGTTCACAATCTTTGGCCTTGCAGTGTAGAGTGGTGCTATTTCTTCATGACCTTATAGCTCAGGTAGTGATATTTCTGTGGGCATTTGAAATACATTTTGCGACTCTGTTTGATGATTTGTTGGATCTAAATTCAGACCCTCTAAAGACTCATAGGTAACCCCTTCGCTGACTTCATTCCAGAGTGTTTGCAAGGTTTTTGGTTGAGATAACTGGTTACGCCTTCTCTTGAATTCCTTTTTTTTTTTTCTTGCTGTTTGTCATAAAAAACCTTCTTGTCCATTGCTTTAGCATGTCTTTCATAGAGAGCACCAGGCTTAATATAACGAATCTCTAATGTTTTTCCAGTATAGCTGTATCCAGTAGTGGTTTTTGCTACCCCACATGCCACTCGAAAATCATCACTTTTGCTGCCTCCATAAAAACAAGTTTTGGGGTTCTTAGAACCAATGGTGCCATTCAATCAGTAGAATATTCGTCACGAATGTCACTTTGAGCTTTTCTCAGGGAATCTCCAAAGAGATCTTTTCCATTCGGATAATGGATCTGTGGGTGCAATAAATGACGTAGTGATTAAAGTGTATTTGTTTATGTTTAGAAGGAAATATTTAAAGGAAAGCACAACTATCTTTTAAAGAAAAATGGAAGTTCAAGATGGCAGGAGGTAAGGTACTGTACTTTGAAATTTGAACAGCAAGATGACTCATATTTGAGCTTGTCTAAATGCCTTTATTCTATAATTAAAAAAAGTTTCCTGCACTGTGATAAATTAATGGTTGTTCATTTTGTTTTCTGTCTTCTTTTGGAGAAAAACATTTCTTAAGAATCCTACTGGAACCTACCTCTTTTGCAACTTGAACAATATTTTAATTCATATCGAAGATTTAGAAGTTCAAAAAGTCTTGTACCACAAATATCAACCTCATATTAAATGTCTTGTAAAGATAGAGTTTTTACTTAGCCATTTGATAGCGGGTATTTGATTATCAAGAATCAAAAGAAAAAAGGAGGGAAGAAAACGTAACAAATCTAAGTCGAAGCAGCCGATATGCTACAGGGATGTAACTCACTTGACTTACCTGTTGCGACGTCATTTTTATTTTCCTTGGAGGTTCACAGTCTTTTCCTTTCCCAGGCAGATTTTCTTTCACGAGAGTTCTCCATTTTTTTGCTGTCGCGTGGTTTCTTATCGATTGGATTTTTCGTTTAGATGCGAAGCAACCTTTATATCACAGAGAATCGTCTCCTTTATCTTCGGTTCTGTCTCCTGCATACGCGGTGGCCGTTGAGTACATGAAACACACGCTGGTAAGCAAACTTCCCACACAATAGGACACAAGTTGCGTAGACCGAAAAAAAGCCTCGAGCCGCCATATTTATTTTGAATTTACACCTTTTAAATCTCGTGCTTCCTTCGCGCGTTTCTCTCGCGCGACACACGAGAGTGACTTCTCCCCGCGCGAGGAAACTGGCTCTATGTGCCACTATATACTACTGTTCTACGTCCTCAATTAATGCTTTAAAACGTTAGCACAAGCCTCTTCTTTTCCTCAAATCCTGTTTTAACAAATGCACAACGAAGAAAACGGAAAAGAGGAAGGGAAAGAAGATGATGTCAAACACCGCCCAAAGGTTGAGCAAAAAGTATCCCCAACGTCTAGCTTTTCGCCATGATTCTTTTCGTACTGAGAAAAAGGAGCGGTACCATCTGGAGTTGAGCAAGTTATTCATCACTGAGTGGGAGAGGAACTGCGAACCATTAAAAAATTGCTTCATCGTTATTTAAAACAATTTTAAATAACACGCGGTTATACATTGACGTCCGCTGGGATCTATTACAAACCAGAAGCACGGAAACAGAATCTATTTACTAGATGTGCATTTAAGGAAATCAGCAATGCCAAAGCAAGGGTGAATGATTTCTTACAAGTAACTAACACAATTAAGTTGGAAACTTTTTCCGGTCAAATCGGCGTCTCTTTAAGACTAGAAAATCTTTAAGCTATCTGTCTTTTCATTTATTGAGTAACGTAGCAGATCAAAACTGAAAGATAATATTTTTTGTCTCAGTTTATTCAAGCCTTTTTATTTAATCGTTTCTCGGATACAATATCTTTTCATATTATTTTCAGAGTCGTGGGAAAGTAAAAAAAAATCATACTTGTTTCTATCTTTTTCATAAAATTTTGGCATAAAAGATTCAGGAGAAAATAAGTAGCTTTGCCTCTGGCCGTCTGTAAATACAGTAGAAAGACATCGAAATAACGTTCTTTTTATTAGAATGGTATAATATTGCACGCATAAATCTGATAGATATCCTTCTCCCTTGTAATATGACACTAAGCTCCCTCAGCCGTAGATTTTGGGGACGTCGTTGTCTCTCCCCTCATTCCTTATGAATATTGTGCGCTGATAAAGGAATCTATGTGCCTGATTGGGCAACAGCTTTCCATTAAAATCAACTTTAGGGGTGAAGGATAACATAAAGAAGTGATTAGCAACCTTTTTACCACTAGTGTTGTACCTTTTTCTGCTTCGTGTCGATTGCCTCGTCTACCACACAGTCAAAACAACTTTGAAATGTTCTTCTGTTATCGGCGTTGGTTTTTAGAGGGTCAACTAGGGCTGATGTGAACTCATTCACATATTTTTCCAGCTTTTCTATATCGTCTTTTTCAGGGATTCCACGACCTGATAAATCTCGGAGTGCTTTGTTTACCTAGGGAAGAAATATGGGTTATTTGTATTGTACCTTTTTCTGCTTCGTGTCGATTGCCTCGTCTATCACACAGTCAAAACAACTTTGAAATGTTCTTCTGTTATTGGCGTTGGTTTTTAGAGGGTCAACTAGGGCTGATGTGAACTCATTCACAGATTTTTCCCCGCGATAACAATGGCCGCTCGCGCGAAAAAAAATAATTCTGGCGAAGCGATTTGCTGAAGCTATAAGCGTGCACTGTCGGAATTTTGAGCACGCTCACGTATAATGAATTTGATTGCGCGGCTCCGCTAGCTATGTTTTAAATACAGTTATTGCCTTAATCAAACGGCTCCATAAGATTGTTCTGCATTTGATAGTGATTCTGACTTCTTGTCAGTCTCTTTTTATTATAAATGACAAGAAAGTTTTTTTCATTGTCTGTTATAAGTTTGAACGGTGAAGTCTCGATAGCCAGTAAAAACAAATACAGATATCAATGAAAGCCAGTGATGATTGAAGGTTCACAAGTAAACAAATGAAGTACAATGTGAGTAAAAAAGCTGCAGTTGTTTGAGACTGTGAAGCATGAAGAACTAATGAGGAGTAGTGAAACCAACTCAGTCACAGTAATAAGGATCACGAAATGAGAAAAGGAAAGAAAGCTTTAAATAAAGTGAACCGGTAAAATCAGTTAAGATAAAGTTATAAGACCAACCTGGAAAGCTTTGAGCAAGGTATTAGTTTTACACCTTGATAGGGTTTTTGGAGTGACTTTTTCTTTAATAGCATCGAAATCTCCCTTACGCAGTACATGATCAAGTTCGTTTTCGATTTCTGTAAAACAATCAGACATAAGAATGGTTCACAAGTATGAACATCATTAGTTAAGCAACTCCCATCAAAATTATTGCAGCGAGCATACAATCCAGCACAAGAAAATACTAAAAGCTACCGGTAGGTTCGATTTTCGCTATCAGTTCCGTCTCAATCCCCCTCACAAGGCGATCAGTCTTATGGGAATAGAGAAACAAAGAGAGAATCGAACTGAATCCATATTGGCTTTATAGCACTGTAATTTTATTCGTTTGTTTTTGTTTTTGATTTTTTTTTTCTGGCTTCCAGAATACCCTCTTTCACTTACCTTCAGCTTGATCTTGCTCAATTGAGCTATCACTATCCGAAGGCGCATGTTCGTCCTCAGCTCCTATATATGGATAATAAATAGAACTATGTTTAAACCATTCAATAACTAAACTAGGCGACTGAGAAATGACAATTATCATGGTCAATATTCTTTAGCAAGTTTTCCTTTTCCATTTCTATTTCAAAACGAAAGAAGAAATTCCTCTGAGATAACGTATACAAGTTCCATATCGAAAGAAAGCTAATGATCTTCATTCCAAATGTTTGATTTTCCTTTGTCGCACAGTCTTCCCAATGTTATTCCTTAAAGTCTACTTAAAGTAAAGCACATACTTACATTAAAAAACCTCGCACTATAATAAAAAATTTGTGCGATATCTTCGAATACCTCAAAATATTTCTCCTATTTTTCAAAAAGAGGAAACTTTATTTATTTACAGAACAACACTCTGAAAATATGTTTCAGTACCTCTGGTCCCTTTCGCACGATTTATTGAAATATAGTATTCTTCTTCTTGATTTGTTTTCAAGTGACTTATTAAAGCTAAACAGGAGGCTAACCCCCAAAACGTCCGAGGTATCTTGCCTCCAGGCTATATCGTTGTACTCAATTTCGGTGAGTTTCACATGTCCTATTCGAGGGTCCTCTATACCCCTTTGCAAAACTCAGTCACGTAAAAAATATTTGACCTTTTCACAAATCAAGAATAAAAACCAACATTATTTACAATACACGCAAATTTTGAGACGATCACTTTTCACATTAAATAACAAAAACATTTCCGAATCAATATTTTTACTTTTTCTAGTCTTGACCAGTCTTGAGTAACAAAAGATGACCAAATGTCTTATCGCATTTGTTTGAGGACCATTAGTAACTGTAGTCTTTTTTGTAACTTCATCGATACATACGAAGTCCATTTCCTGTCAAAATCCTGGTCAACTCTAACCATAACCGTTCGGCAACAATACTTACATTTTCAAAACTATTTCAAACCCCGGACTTCACCACGCCAAACAAAATTGTTCACTAATCACTTTAGTCGCGCTTAAATAAAAAAAATAAGTTCAAGTAGACATCAAGAGGTCTTTTCTACTTTAATCACGATTCACGAAAAAACAGCAAATCAAATCATAACCCTAATCATAAACAAAACATCAAATCATAACCCTTACTAACATAGCGCTTTTGAATATTTTATAGAAAAGGCGCAATACAAATAATAAATGTTATTGTTATTGTTATTACTAACCAGACTCGGCATATAGTTCGAGTGATGCTTTTCTCCCAGGCGTTACAGGCTCCTTTGACCCCTTCCTTCGAGAGCTGTAAAGTAATTAACCACATGAGTATTGAACTCTAAATTAAGGATTCAAGTGAGTTGAACCTCGTTTCACCCTCTTCAGGATCATGCTTAGAAACCGCGGAACACTTGTGAATAAATCCCAAGTGCAAGTAGGTCAAGTAGTTGTACCAAAAACCTTACATTATTTTTCTCACAATATGTTTGATAAAGGGATCGATGTTATAGTAAATTAACTAACTTTATTCACGAACTCGCTATAGCTAATGAAAAATAATGATTCTCAACGTTATTATTCTCGGGAACCCTCAAGATACGCTTATGTTAGAGTAGGGAATAACTCCTACCACTTTTCTGTTGTTTCGCCTACTATTAAAAGAAATTTTTTACAAAGGTCCGCCTTAAGGGTTGATCTCGTTCTCTCGAACACTTTTAGAACAAGAAATTTCCTTGAGTATCCCGGGATGATGGTAATGGATTTATTCATGAATATTAAGAGGGGCCGTGGAATTAGTGGGAGCAGTCTAGAAAGCACAAATACATGTGTACACCAGCCAACATTTCAGAACTTTAGCTGAAGTCATATTTGCTCGTTACCTTTTCCGTGTTGGACTCATTTGGACCTTATGTGTTCTAGATCCTCTTTGCCTAATAAGCTCTTTGGGCAGCGATGGTATTTTTTGTGGATTTGCTATGTGCCTGAAAAATATGCTAGTTTTCAATAATTTTTCCCAGATAAGACAAATTAAAAGTGTATCAAAATATGTATTCCAAGTAAGCTTATAAACAAAGGATTTTGGAAAAAATATTCCCTACTCCACAGGCCAACTGCAACATAATACCGCTCATTTAATAGTGCCACCAAGACTTACAAAAGAGAAGATAATTCTTGCTATAACTGATAGAAATAAATGAGTCGTATTTCAATTTAAATAATGTACTATTCTCGTGGACTCTACACATACGCTTCTGTAAGAGTCTAAAATAACTGGAGGTACCACTTTTCTGTAGAAGTTTCGCGTCAAATCATAAGTGTCTCAGTCTAAATGAGAGAAATGTTGACATGGTCCGCTAATGTTGACGAGTCTTACTCACTTGATCTCGTTCACTTGAACACTTTTTGATCAAGAAATTCAGGGTAGACTGCTTTACTTAACGGAAAGAAGAGCAGTGAAAAAAAGATATGAAAAGACCAAATGGAATCTGGAACCAGGGAGAGGCTGGCAAAGGTTTTATGCGTGACGCGTGATTTAGTAAAAAAAAATTGACGTTTGACGCGTAAATTATACAGAAATGCGAGCGTGATTTGTGAATATATAAGCTAGAGTGAGGCGTGTTTCCCCCACTGAAATATATGCAACCCGTAAAAATCTCCCGCTTTCCTTAAATCTTATGCAAAAGAAGAGAGAGTTATAGCTTTCCCTTAATATGTGACGCATTAATTTAAAATTTCTTAAATTCATGCATAAAACGGGATCAAGAACCCAACCCAACCCAACCCAACCCAACCCAACCTTCACTCTTAAGAAAGAGTAGCATCTAATTTCTTCTTACAAAATCAGCCTTGCATCTCATATTAAAGTCAGGAGAATACATGAAATGATCAAAAACCAGAGAAGCTCTTTCTTGTTAAATATATTCTCCTTTTCAACACCCTAGGAAATGTATAGAGAGTAATAAGGAGAAAATGCATACTGATGTTAGGTTTTCAAATTAAAAGGGTCAGTTAAGGTATGAAGACAGTGACATTAGTACACTATGTTTACATTGTCAAAGAAGGCAATTTTTTAGCCTCTCAAGAGGACGTGATAAAGGAAACGATTAAAAAAACGCATCATGTAGAACCCAGTGTGTCAAACGTTCCATAAGAAAGACCCCTTACACATGCCACAAGTTAGTATTTACAAATTGTGGGTTGAAATGGAGTTCTCCAAAGTAGCAGTTGTAACAAGAATCGATCTGCTTGTAATTTTAGTTCCTTCCGCTACCTGAACTCGTCGGTGACCACAAAATTAAAACTAACGTTTGCACGAAACCAGATCAAGCCTGAGATGCACAAAAATATCGACGCTGATTGGTCAGTTTCCAACAAGCTTCACCCTGCAGGTTCTCACACACCCCAGTGATAAGCATTCTTTTACCTCTGGCTCAATGTATTCTACGTCAGTAGTATCGATGCTTTTAAAACAACGAAGGACGAAAAAAAACATAAACATTGTCAGTTCAGCCTCTTTGCTCGAAATAATCCAAAAGACCGATGAAAATCATTTTTTTGAGTGATAAAAAACTAACAGCAGAGAGATTCTGAAGAGTTATTGACGGCTTCTTAACAGCTTGACTGCCAACTTCCGCAGTGCTGCGACTGTTTGTGCTGAAAACAGTAGGAACGCTTGATCACAAATAAAATACCTTGACTCTGTTGGATTTACTGTGCGACTCAGAAAACCGGCTTGAATTCTCCTTTTTCACATTACCCAAAATACCTTGCGCTTTGGGGGGTAACTTTGGAGCCCTAGTTACAAGCAAAATGGCGGCTCCAACCAAACAAACGGATTTAAAGCTACCAAATTGTTATAAAGATGCTTCTAAATTCACGAAACCAAAGCTTAAGGAGGTTTGTAGAGCTCTCTCTGTAGATTTTGAGAAAAATATCGGGAAGAAAGCGCTCGTAAACATTGTTTGCAACGCTTTAAATCTGTCAACATCATCCACGACCGCTACAAAGACCGAGAATCAGTCAGCTTGCTGGACTTTACCAACCATAGCTTATCTACAGAAGCAAAAAGAATGGAAGAAAGACTTAACAGGCATACCAATGCTCATGGATGAGTCAATGGTCAAGTCATATTTAATTGGAGTTGGTTATGAAGAGCAAACTGTGCGAAAGTATAAGACACTTCGTGCATGGGAGCACAAGCAAGATGTACATTCTGTCAAGTAAGTCTGTGTTTTATGTTTGATTATAAAACATTGCAACTACACTTCAAGTNTGAATGATTTTCTTGGGCGACCCCTACTTTCCCCCGATACCTGAGAAAATGATAAAAAGATATATTGGAAATAGTGTTTCAAGTATAAAAGCTCAAACAAAAACACTTATCAAAGTCATCGTGAAGTACTTACACAGACTCGTTTGCGCTTTGGTTTTAGAGTTTCAATTGCAAAGAAGTCATCTTTGTTTGTTTTTTGACTTGTTCTGGTCTTTCGACTTTCAATTCCCTCTTGAACTCAAATATGGATGGATTGTAAGCCGAATGTGCTGGATCATCGGACTTTTCTCCTCCGACGAAGTAAGCTGAGCACAATCGAGTGTTGTCTGTTGGTGAAAAATCTTGTCGGCGAATTCTATTTAACCAAGCATTTCTTCGCTTAGATTCTTTCGGAATTCTGTAAAACTTGAGATTTGGGTTTCTTTTCCGATTATTTGAGCAGCTTGGAGCACAGCAAAAGTCGTTTTTTCCCATGTAAATTACGATGATATATAAGAGTTTTGTGAACAGATATGGCGTCCTTAGCTTTGTTGTCAGACTGGTTACCCCCCAAGGCGCAAGGGATTATGGGGATGTGAAAGAAGAGAATACCTAAAATATGTCTGGAAAGTTAATTGTTTACTTATTAATAGCACATTATTCAAGGAATGTCAAAAGTTGTCTCCTGTCCTTTCTACAATTGATACTAACCATCATCTCTTTCTTTGGGTGGTTGTTTCTCTTCAGAATGATTACAATACCCGTAAATTAAGAAATGGTTCGTGTTTATATCGAGTTATGGAAGCACACGAAGGAGGATGGTTATTCGTGGTTACTCTTTCGAACTCTTGGTCACTCTTGAACTATACAAGACGGTGTGTCACCTTGCATAACAGGTCTAACAATAGCTCTTTAGCGGCCATAATCGGTCAAAAACACTAGCACTACAAAATACAGAAACACGAGTACCGTTGGAGAGCTTCGGAGAGCGTTCGGTCAGAGTTGTCGAAGATGGACCAAGGCGGTCAATAAAGCTTTGGAAGGCTTTAAACTACGGCGTACATTGAGTTTTACCTTCTCGAAAACCGGTCTTAAATTACTTAATAAACAACAGTGATTGTTTTTGTTCTTGAAAACCAACTGTGAATAAACGACAAATACCGTACAAAAAAATACTAACTGAACTCGTTCAATGTAAGTCAAATTACATTTACCTACAGCGAAAGGAAAAAATTCACACTAACTAAACGCTATACACTACCTAACTTTTGAGGAATGCTTATTCGAAAAAACTGCCGATTTCTGACCCTTTCACCGCCATATTAACAATAGCGTTACCACAATAAGCGTACATGTAATCAGAGTGTGTACACTGCTTGATAAGTAGCAGTCGCCAGAAAAATGCCACATGGAGAACCAAATGTATCACACATGTCATAGAAATCACCTCCATTAAATGAGGACCAGAGGGAGAAACGGTTTAGAACTGAAGTCGACATCTCTTTCATAAGAGTGACTCCAAATGGACAAAATTTTCAGCGAACCAGTTCAAAGTCAATCCAATTGTACTGCTGATTTTCTAGTGACATATTCAAATACGAAAACCCACAAATAAAGAGCCGCAAAAATTTTTATCCTCATCAGGCATAAGAAGGTCTAAATTCTTATCTGTTTTCAAATTTTCAGCTCAATAATGGGCTTGGTTTGGAAACCTGCGTAGCTTGAAGTTCAGAGTTATGTGGTCAAGTGGCCTACGGCTCCGATCTTCTTTGCCGAAAAATATAGACTTATTTGGTGGTTTTTAGACCTGTTAGGAAATCAAGCGTTAGAAAAAATGTTTTTGGACACGCTTGTTGATTTAGACTATACAATCAGTGGGCTTGATAACCAAAGTAAGTCCCAGATTTTCTACACTATTTTCCCGGCTGTCGTGTGGAGGACCAAAGATAGCACTAACATGGCGGCTCCATTCTGGACTCTGTAAATTTGCGCAAAATATTTGGACGAATATCTTAAGTTTGAGAAAACAAAGGGCTTCCATAAGCTATCTCCTATAACATAACAATTCAATTCCTTACCCTTATCCACGCAGTATCTTTCTCTCGCTGCGTAATTGTGAAAACGGTTACATAATTTTAAAGTGTTTCCGCATTTTAAAACATCAATTCTAATGTTCGTAATCGGAACAGCGCTAATACTTACTTCACGCGCTCAACAAGGGCATCACGATCCACAAATGCGTCCTCAGGTTCTGTATATAGATGGTAGATAGGACTGAACAATGAGAATTAAACAAACACTAAATTTTAAATTCCATCAAGAATGATGGCAACGAGCACACAAATCCAGCTGAAGGACGTCACAGTCCTAACAGCATCATTGGTTCGATTTCCGCCATCAGTTACCTCAATCTCCCTCACACGATGATCAGTCTTAGGGCGAGGGAAAAGCTCAAAGTCCACGCAAAACCAAAGAGATAATGGAATTGAATGCACTGGCTTATAACACTGATATTTTATCTGTTTGTTTCTGTTTTTTAGCTTCCTGATTGCCTTCCTTCACTTATCTTTACCTTGATCTTGTTCACTTAAGGTATCGCTATAGGAAGATTCATCGTCCTCAAATTCTATGAATAGGTAATAAATAGGACTGATTTAGACCATTCAATAACTAAACTAGGGGACTAAGAAATGATAAGTATCATGATCAATATTCTTAGGCAAGTTTTCCCTTTTCCGTTTTTATTTCAAAATTCGAAAGAAGAAATTGCACTGCGCTAGCGTAAGTTCCAAATCGAAAGACCGGTACTGATCTTCATTCCAAATTTTTGTTTTTCCTTCGTCGTGCAGTGTTCCCAATGTTAATCCTTACAGTCTACCTAAAGTAAAGCATGTACTTACTTTAAAACACATAAGACTAGAAAAAAAAGTTGTGCGATAACACCTTAGAAGACTTTATTTACAGAAAAAACACTCTGAAAATATGTTTAAGTACCTTTGGTCCCTTTCGCGCGATTTATTCTATCTTCCCCTGAGCTAAATAGTTGTACTCAAGTTCAGTGAGTTTTACATGTCCTATTCGAGAGTCCCTTATACCCCTTTGAAAAACTCAGATATCCAGAGGCTCCCTCTCTCAAATAAACCTTCTCTAAGACTTCGTCAGACATTATCGATTGGTTCTCGTACGCGTGTCTTTGAGAAAATTTAGACTTTGAAAAAAGAGGGGATTACCATACTTATTTAATGGCAGTACCCAACAATTTATATACCTTTCTTATAAGATGATAATAAAATTAGATTCGATTTTGCCAAGTCTTTTCAGGTTGCTCAGTTATAGATCATAAATGATGCAAAAATGTCGTAAGAATCTTAAAAAAAAACGTACCACACAAGTTACAGGCGCTTGAGTATTTCTCTAATTTTTTTTCTTGTTAGTTTGTTTGTTTTTTAACCAACTTTTATTCAAAACAATTCTAGTGATATATCAATGACACACTCAGCTGTGCGTCGAGTACCAGTTTATTTGTTCTTACTACCACAGTATGACGTCATCGGTGATTTATTACTGGACAGACGCATAGTAACATGGACCTCATTTGTTACTTAGTTGTTGTTTGCAGAAAAAAGTTATTCCCGCTAAAAAAGAGAATGAAAGCAAAGGGTTCGAGTCATCGTCGACGAGGAGACGGAAAATTTCCTTCCTAGTAAGGGAACAAACGGACTAGCAAGCCCTTAATTTCACTCGTTGGATAAGCGTGGCGAAGAAAGCAAGTATTGTGGGGTCTGGATATGAATTTCGTTTTCCTTGACGAAAAAGAAAAGTCGTGCGCATGGCTTTTCCTGGTCTTGAGCCCAACGTATTCTCAATGGAGCGCCAAAATGCCTGCATTGACCACAGAAAGCATGCGTAGTGTGAACACACTTTGCAACTATGAATGGCTTTAAAATAAATCATGCAAGTGAGCAATCTAAGTAAATTTCTCGAGAAATCTAACCCAACCAAACCATGGGTAGTAGACAATTTTTTTTCACATTCAAGAAAAACGAAACGATATTGAAACTTAAATCTTTAACAGATAGATAAATTATGAATTAGGACGAGTTACAATGAAGCTCACTAATCCTTAAGACTTTCTGCCATCTTACTAACCAGACTCGGCCTCTAGTTCTGGTGATGCTCCTATACGAGGCCTTAAAGGTTCCGTTGGTCCCTTCCTTGTAACGCTGTAAGGTAAATGACCAAATGAAAATTAAACACTCGATTAAGAATTTAAGTAAGTTTAACCTCGTTTGATTCACTTCAAGATCATGCTTGACAACCTCGGAACACTTGTGAATAAATCCCAGATGCAAGAAAGTTAAGTAATTGTACCAAAAGCCTTGCCTTATGTAAAAGGTGGTGTTATACTAAGTTAACGAACTTTATTAGGTAATAAGCCAATGTGAACTCGATTTAGCTCATGATCAATACTCACATCCTCCCGTTTGCTACCCTATTAACCCTTTAACTTCTAAAAAAGAGCAGCATTTTGTTTCTTCTTACGAAATCACCCCTGAATCACACATTAAAGTCAGGAGAATAGAGGAAATTATGACCAGTTAAAGAAGCTCTTATTTGTTAAAATAAGCATATTTTATTTTTCAGCTCCTCAGGAAAGAGAATAGTACGGAGAACTGAATATGCATACTGATATTAGGGAGTCAAGGGCTAAAGGTATGAAAACAGTGACATAGGAATATCTTATTTACATCTTCAAAGAAGTCGATTTTTGAGCCACTCGAGAGGATGTGATAAAGAAAACGATTCAAATAACGCAACATGGAGAACTCGATGTGTCAAACATGTAAAAAAAAAAATCACCTGCAAAAAATGACAGCCAAAAGGAAGAAACTGTTTACAACTGAAGCCGGGATCTCTTTTATAAGAAGTAACTTCAAAAGGATACTGTATCTCAACAAAGTTTTCCAATTAGGCGGCTAGTCATTTCAAATTCAACCTCATTGTACATTTGCATAAGGATTTTTCCGCAATTTTCTTCGGCATCTAATGTTCGAAGACAGGACACGAAACGAACCAGCAGTAATTCAGTTCTAGAGTTGAATTTGGAGTCGAACCAAAAGCTGTTTCATCTACAAAAAACTACTGGAAACTGGAGCGGACACCCGCTGATGACAAGAAAAAATATTTACAATCTCTCATAACTTGAAAACATACCGCCAGCCGCCCATGAGAACTCGCCGTGACGGAATTCAAATGATTCAAACGGAACTTTTCACAACACTTACTTCTTACTGTACGTGTTATCAGGGTCGGCGATCATCCTCCCACGCAAGCCGCCGAGTAGTCTTTATAAACTGCGGGCTGAAATGGAGTTCTACAAGGTAGCAGTTGTAACAAGAATCGATCGGCTTGTAATTTTAATTCCTTCCGCTACCTGAACTCGTCAGTGCCTACAAAATGAATACTAACGTATGCATGTAACCAGATCAAGCCTGATTGGTCAATTTGCAGCAAGCTTCACTCGGCAGGTAACAGTATTTTTTTTAACCTATGGCTCAATATATTTACGTCAGTAATATCGACACTTTTAAAACAACGAAGGATGAAAAAAAAAGACAATCAGTCGTCGCTCAAAATACATCCAAAAGACCTAAATATTAAGACCAGTCTTCGATAAAACCATTTTTTCAAGTGATAAACAGAAGACAGAGTATGACGAGTTATTAACAGCTGCTTATTAGCAAGACTGCCAACTTCCACGATGCATGCTGCGACTGTTGTGCTGGAAACAGTAGGAAGGCTTGATCACAGATAAAATACCTTGAATCTGTTAGACTTTACTGTTCCACTCAGAAAACCTTAAATACCTAAAATATGTCTGTAAATTTACTTGTTTACTAAAGTAACCAGTAGCACATTATTCATGGAACGTTAAAAGCTGTCTCCGATCTCTTCCGCTACAGTTAATACTAAACATCATCTGTTTCTTTGGATGGCTGTTTCCCTTCAGAACGATTGTTGTGAGGTAAATTAGAAGTTGCTATTTTAAGACTTTTATTCAGTTTAGCTTTTTGTTTAGTTAATCAGAGAATGTTTAGAAATACATTTGATGATAAAAATTAACGGTAAAAAACTACGACGTTTCGAAGTCTGCATGACCTCATTATCAAGTAAAATGTTAAAACTGATGTAAAATTGTAGCTCAGAGATTATATACAAATAAAATGTGATAACTTCATTAGAATAATGAGCGTTCATTGTTATTGGTGTCAGATCGTGCAGTATATGTTTAAATAAATACTTTTGCACGTATTGAGTCAGACTGCGTGTTTAACTTTGGTTTTTGTTCGCGAATGAATAACATTTCGTGGATTAGGCAGTCCATTTTCCCGCGGCATTTCTTGAGAACGGAAAACATTTTCCCCAGGCCAGCGGACGCTACACCGTGGGCCTCCCTCAGATGCTTGCCAATGACAGAAGCTTTATGTTCTTCTATGCGTTGATGAAGATGGCGTGTGGTATAACCGATATAATCCGCATCGCACGAATCACATTTAAAAGTGTAAACAACGCATTGGTGGTTAATTAAAGCGGGCTTCTCTTCTTGTATCTTGAGCTTTCCCTCGATCTTACGACTCGTGAAAACTGGTTGTAGGTCAGTTCCGATTTTCCGGCCAAGATCTTTTACGAAGGAATGCCAGCATCTCAAGCGGATGTTTACTAAGCTTAAGTACCCAGTGAAACTCATCAACTCAGCTATCGCCTGGTACACGAGTTCTACGATCCAAAGCCGTCACGAAACCCCAACTGAACTTAACGCGGCTACACAAAAACCTGTCAGAATAACTTTACCATTTAAAGACCAAAAATCGGCCGACACAGTAAGACATCAGCTGAAAGATCTTGGCCGGAAAATCGGAACTGACCTACAACCAGTTTTCACGAGTCGTAAGATCGAGGGAAAGCTCAAGATACAAGAAGAGAAGCCCGCTTTAATTAACCACCAATGCGTTGTTTACACTTTTAAATGTGATTCGTGCGATGCGGATTATATCGGTTATACCACACGCCATCTTCATCAACGCATAGAAGAACATAAAGCTTCTGTCATTGGCAAGCATCTGAGGGAGGCCCACGGTGTAGCGTCCGCTGGCCTGGGGAAAATGTTTTCCGTTCTCAAGAAATGCCGCGGGAAAATGGACTGCCTAATCCACGAAATGTTATTCATTCGCGAACAAAAACCAAAGTTAAACACGCAGTCTGACTCAATACGTGCAAAAGTATTTATTTAAACATATACTGCACGATCTGACACCAATAACAATGAACGCTCATTATTCTAATGAAGTTATCACATTTTATTTGTATATAATCTCTGAGCTACAATTTTACATCAGTTTTAACATTTTACTTGATAATGAGGTCATGCAGACTTCGAAACGTCGTAGTTTTTTACCGTTAATTTTGTTTAGTTAAGCCTTGCCTTTTGCGCCTACGTGTTGTTTTGGTAGATATATAGTTTTGATCTTTTATTTTGAGCGCGTACTTGCGCTTGACTCAGTTCGCGGATATCCTTATTACTGTGTTAGTCATCTGAATCGCCTGTTATGGTTAAGAGTAATCAGTATCATAGGTGGTCATGTTTGGGTTGGTAAAACTGACCTTGAGTTTTGCCCACACTGAAGATCCTGTTTGTGCGCGCGCTTTTTGTGCGCAGCTCGATCATTGGCGTTTAATTGGTTCCTTGGCGCTCGACGAGTACTTCGGTGAGGGCCACTCAGTTTTCCCCTTTTTGCAAAATAAACGAATCCATTAAGGAAACTCTCACGGTCAGCTAACCCTAACATGACTACGGTTTTCCTACTTAAAGCGTTGGTACCTCTCGCTAGATTATTACATGCATAGAGCGTCGCTGTGGTAGAAGTCAACTCTCTTGGAAGAGAATTAAAGAAAGGTACAGAGTTGTAGTACCTCTGGTTATTTACCTCAGGGATGGTACGTTTTTTATTGGGGGGTGGGCCGGGGCTTCGGAGGGGAGGGTCATTAGTAAATATTTTACAAATTGGGGAGGGTCAAACCTGTTTGACAAGAGAGTGGTTATGTTTCCAATATTGTTAGAGATCTAGCCGCCGATCGATAAAAAAGTATGCTCGTTCTCTCTTGTCTTTCAGGTGGTACTCGGCACAAAAAACATCTCATAAGCATCTATTCTCTTCCAATAGGTCGATCAATCGGTCGGTTTCCTCGTCGCTCCAACGTCTTGTTTTTTGATTTGGTGTTTTTTTTGCTAGAGGTTTGAGCGATATTTTGCGCTGCCTCCTCGCTGGCTGCCATTTTCAAACTACACTGACGCAAGCCAACGGTGTCTATGGCAACGACTGAGTTTGCAGTCACAATGCGCGTGCGCGCATGCAACATGTTGTTGAGACTGGCCAAACGAACAAAATTTCACACATCCAACATGAGAACAAAAGAAATGTTGGACGATGTTGGATCAAATGTTTGATACCGCTTCAAATATGTTCCAACATCATCCAACATGTTGAGTGGTCATCAAACACGGTGGCCAAACGATAAAATGTTGGTTCACCCAACATGTTGGATCGTCCAACATTTGTCGTTTGGCCGGGCCTTAACACATCAATTCTAATGTTCGTTGACAGAAGAGAGCCAATTGAAACGAACGTGCGGTAATTCACTCTGGAGTCAAATGCAGTTGAGCAATGAAACCCAAAATCTGCTTGGCCAAACAATTTCTCATAACCTGAAAACATATTGTCAGCCGCAAAAGAGCACTCGCCGTGGCTGAATGATTCTAAATAAATTTTTACACCAAGAGATTATAATCTCTTGTTCGCACTAACTTCTTATTGTTACCGGGTTGGCCATCATCCTCCTATACGCAAGCCGCCAAGCAGTCTTTTCAGAATGTGGCCTAAAATGGAGTTCTACAAAGTAGCACTTGTAACAATAATCGATTGGCTTGTAATTTAAAAACCCCTTTCTCTACCTAATCTCGTGAGTGACTACAAAATTAAAACGAACTGAGCCTGACTTGACTAAAAATCTCGACGGGGATTGGTCAATTTGCAGCGAATTTCCCTCTAGTAGCAGACCCTCCTACTTTCTCGCATGACAAGGATGTTAGCTATTATCCAAATCAATATCACAGCCAACGTTATTACTGAAAGCTTTCTATTAATCGTGGCGTGCCGATTGAACGCACCATCTCAGTGATATAATTATTATTTTATGATTTTCTCCACCGTGTAGCTCACCACTTGTTTGAGGAAACCCCAGTATTCATTACTTATTAGATCTCAAAAGTAGTCAGTGGATTTAATCTCTTTTTGAAGGCGCTGGAAAAAAAGATTTTCGAGAGGAAGCCATCCTCAGAGACAGGTGACCCCTATAACATGACCTCTGCCAAATCGTTCACCAAGAACAGTCGTGGATCGAAAATCATTCCGACGCGTTTCGTTTCTAGCTGAGAATTCTTCAGCTGAATGGTTACAACATATAGACAGCTTTTTTAAGTGAACAATGACTAAAACTTGCAATAAACGGACGTTACAAGAAATACCTTATCTACTTACATAGGTTATTGCGTGTTGTATTTTGGGAGCTGTGTATACGTCGAGATCAGATTTCGAACTTGCTGTGCATATCGGTCGAATTAACCAAATTAACGAGTGCGAACCGAACTTACAAATAGTTAGAAACACAAGCTTTTTGCGAAGAAATACAAAATTTGCTATTTTGAAGCGGAAAAAGTGAGAAGCCCTCACTTTTAAGCGACCCCCCTATACGCGTGCTTGAATAGTTGTTTAATCACATTCACAGACAGAAAATTCCGTGGCGTTGCAATGAAAATTCTGAAAGTTGTCATATTGAAAGGGAAGGATTCACGGTAATTCGCATGAGTGAGTGACGACGCAGCTTCATTGTTTATTAGCTAAACAGAGAATAAAGGTAAAGACAGACCGGCAAGGACTCCGTAGGTGGCTTTTGTGGTGGCGTCGCATTATGGCGTTGCAATTGTATTTTTTCTCTTACCAGCGTGTCGTAAGGGATTTTCCCTCTTTGTAGGAGATGAATGGCTGATTGTGTATCTAAGCGGTTGGGAGTTTGGGAAAGCCATGTCTTTGTCATGTCATCGATGTGTTTGCCCCGACGCATTTAGTAAACGATCTCATTAATAACCTTTTCCTGCGTGTTTTTTACTGTTGGTGCTTTGAGAGGTTTGTAGTGAACTCTGGTGTTGAGTTGCACTTTGCCCTCTTCTTTTTTTTTTTTTCTGTTTTATTCATGATGGCTGTTGTTGTGCTTAAAGCAGAGTTGTTTTTCAGCTCTTTTCAGTAGAGCCGTGATCTCATTGTGTTACAAATTGTTTCACGGCTTGGATAAAGTTACCTCTGCAAATTGTTTTACAACACTTTCCAAGTAGCTCTCAAGGGCAATAGAGGGCTGAACCGGTGGCGTTCAGTTTGATGTGAAACGGTTGTGGTTTTTTTGTTTTGTCCGTGAAAAGTGTATTGGAGGTGCATTCATCTTACGAACAGATCTCGCAAGAGTTGGCTGATTTTACATTCTTTTTTCACAGGTGTTGGTATGAATTTGAGACCCTTTGATAGCACGCTGACCTGGCTTTCAGAAATTTGGGCTTATCATCGGTGTAAAAGCCTGTGAAGCTCACGAGTGAAGTAAAACAAAGACAACAAAACACTATAATCAATAGCGTACAGCAAAACAATACCTCATGAAACAAAGAAAACCTCGTCAGGTTATTACACCGAGGATGACCCGAAATTTGATTATGCGACGCGACCACAAAAGCCAGATGGGGAGTTCGTAACGGTCTGTCTTTACCTTTATTCTAAAAACTGTTTTGCGGAATCTTGAAAATTAGCGCTTAGGAAATACACTAAAATATAGTTCGATGATTGAACAACTCAACAAGCACTGTCAGATCGAAGGATGGCCAAATCTTACTGGGGGTTCATGTTGATTGTTCAAGCGATATCACATATTAATTTAGCGTTGACCCGACGAATTTAATCCAAAGGCTGTCACGCCGCGCATGCGCTTAACGGTGATTTCGTGCCTTTAAAACAAAATCTTCTATCGCAAAATTCTTCAAGAATACATCAACATTGAAAACTAATATTTACCAAATCAAAGAGAGCTCCTAAAGTGGAGAAGCCCCTCTGAAAGTTTGCAAATTTATTTTTCATTTTCCAGACATAAGTTGTCTCGGGTTTCGAAATCATAGTATTATTCACCCCAAAGCTCTTTTCGTCGGAATGATTCAAACAAAATTTGCACAATCAATACCCACTTACTTCTCACAGCTCCCAAGGTCGGCCATTTTCCTCCTCCGCAAGCCGCCAAGCAGTTTTTTCAGACTGTGGGCTGAGATGGAGTTCTAAAAAGTAGCACTTGTAACAAGAATCGATCGATCGATCGATTGGCTTGTAATCTTGAACCCGTCTGCGACCTGATCTCGTGAGTGACTACAAATCTGAAAATAATGTACGCACGAAGCACGCAAACAAAAATCGACCGTGATAGGTCAATTCATGGTCAGACTGCAATACCGCCGAATAATGAAAAAGCTGATATTAGCAAATGTAAAACATGTCCAGTTGGTTTGGTTTGTTTGTTTGGTACTACAGTTGGACCCCAATAATTCGAACTCGGATAATTCGAAGTCCCCGCTAATTCGAAGTAAAATTCATTTCCCTTGGTTTGGTCATTTTACCTCGGATAATTCGAAGTCCCCGCTAATTCGAAGTAAAATTCATTTCCCTTGGTTTGGTCATTTTACCTCGGATAATTCGAAGTCCCCGCTAATTCGAAGTAAAATTCATTTCCCTTGGTTTGGTCATTTTACCTCGGATAATTCGAAGTCCCCGCTAATTCGAAGTAATTTCTGTTCCCTTAGGTCGGATTTTACCCCGATAATTCGAAGTCAAGTTACCAGCTGAATGAAAAAGAACAGACGCTGTCGGAAATTAGAATATATATATATTTATGTAATAACAGTTTCGAACATTTCACAGCTCGTTAATCCCTTTATAATTGCGTAAAACAGTTCTCTGCGCATTAGCCCCTTTACTGTATGTGAGGTGCTTTATAAAAGTTATTAACATGTAGATGTGATGAAATCCATGTGCCTAAAGAGTTGACGAAAAATCCAATTTTAGTCTTTCAGCTTTGTCAACTCTCTTTCAAGAATACTGACGTATTTCTTCTCTCTTCACTGTCGCCAAGATTAACAGGCCTGCCTGTCACAATAACAGTGCATGAATTTCTATTATCCACTCTGAGAAAATAAAAGATTGTCTTAGCGAATCGTCCACTCTTTCCCTTCTTCAGATGTCCAACAATGGTTTCTTGATCTTGCGTCTCACATACGGCATATTTGTCCACTGGGTTATCGGGCTCTCTCCTGGTTGAACGTTTTTCATTCACTGTTGGTTTCCAGATTTCCTGGTAGTCGTGATATCCCTTTATGTAGGAGTTAATCTGAAGCGAAGCAACATTCCTTGGGAAAACAATTATTTAAGCAGAGCTTGATTTAGTAAATTCAAAGCCGTTATCTAGCAGCACAGGGGGGCTCAGACAAGCGACGAGTCTGGTTGTTTATTCGAAATATAAAGGAATGTATGGGAGAATATTGAAGAGTCTTATTATCGTAAACTTATATCATGAAATGTCTGAGTTAAAGCTCAAAATAAATGTAAACCTACCTCACTTGCTGTGTATTGTCGTTTCGGTGGCTCTAAATGGCGAATTTAAGCGATTTGGTGGGTTTTGCGTCGACTGTTACTATACATCGAGAACATACAGATGGGGAAATTACATCTTAAAAGTAACCGTTATTATCACATCGCAAAGAAAAGTCGTCAAGAGATATCCTTATAGGGGGAGCGTAACTTAGAGGGCAGGAGTCGCATAGGCCTATCAACACCTTTCAACCGTCGATTGCCTCTTGCCGTTTCCGGCTCACCGGCGTGTCGCCTCGCGCAAGGTTGAGTTATTCACAGATCAAGTGACTCCTTTCATTACTCTAATTCAACTGTCCTTTATTCAGTGATAAGATGGTAGATTTTCCATACAATACTCGCGATTAGTTGATTTGCTTTTACTTAGGAAAGTAGATTTACAACACGATTGAGTACGTGTGGTAAATGTCCTTAAAGTAGTAACGCAGCGTAACGCAACACACTACGCACAACAACAGAACTTTTCGCTGCCATCACCGGTCTCAAACACTATCACTTACGATGCATAAAATATTTGTACCGTTGGAGAGCGTTTGAAAGCATTTGGTCAGTGCTGCTGAAAAAGGATCAAACTGACCATCAAAATCTTTGAAAGGCCTCTAACCACTAACTACGATGTAAAACAAATTTGACCTTCTCGAAAACCAGTCTCAAATTACATACTAAAAAAACAGCGCCTGCGTTTATCATTGGGAACGATAGAATACGCAACAAATACGTATAAAAATACTACTACACAATCAGAATATATCAAATTACATTTACCAACAGTGAAAAGAGAAAGAAACGACTTAACTTCTACGGAATGTTCCGTCAAAATCTGCCGATTTCTGCCGCTTTCACCACCATATTGAAAAGAACGCTACCACAATGCAACGCAATCGGAGTGCGCACACCGCTTAGGAATGGTGCAACTGTGATAACAGAAGAAGACCGTTTTTGCCCACCTTATCTTGTAGTTCGTTTGGTTAAACTCTAACAAGCGGGACTGTTTGTGTAAGTGCCTATGTTCCTTTTCTTTCTGCTTATGTAAATAGCTAGCTTTTTAGTAGTCTCGCCAAGATTTTACACTAGTTTCTTCAACACTCGTTTAAGCAAACTTGTAACACGTGGCCTATGTTGTTCACGTTACGTTAGAACGCTACACATTTTTCCCATTTGGCTATTAGTTTGTGTTAGAGTTCGTTTTCAAGGGGTTCTCCTTTATCTTTTCGACGATATAGTCTTTGTGTTAGTTTGTTTTTTTGGTTTTACATTGTTTCTTTGTAACGGAATGTCTAAAACGTTAGTTCGGGGGGGGGGGGTGACTTCCAGGTGGAGGGCTTATAAACACAGACCTGCCAACTCTCACGGTTCTGCCGTGAGTCCCACGATTTTTTGTCATTTCTCATGGTCTCACGACAAGGCTCCGCAATCTCACGGGTTTTTGGGAAAAACGTTTGAAATGAAATAAATTAAGTTGTTGAAAAATTATGGGAAAAGAACGAGAAATGCTAGTGCCATGTACTGAAAAACAAATAAAGAAGAACCCTGTTCTTACTTTTTTGTGCCGAGCTGTGATTTTTGCTTGTGTTCAATAAACTTAAAGTGCCTATAACCCCAAAAAAATTGTTTAGCCATATTAAATCTCTCTATTGCACTGAGCAAAATGCCGCAAAAATTTTTGTATTTGGTTAAAACCGCGATTTTTTATGATTTTTCAAAGTCGAGTTTAGTTTTCAAACGACCGAGTGAACCAGAGACTGGGGCCAGTGACGTCATTCCAGGCCATCGGCAGGGGGGCTCCGATCCAATCTCAGTCAATGTTATACGTTCCCAACGAGATGAAACCTTCGTTAAAGCCTGATCTGGTAAATTTTTCTCACCTTTCTCTTACTTCGCTCGCTTTCAGCTGATTTCGTTTCCTCCAACATTCCACGCGTGAACAGTCGGAAAGACGCAAATTCCAACTCCATCTTTTCGCAACCTTCGTTGCATAGTCTTGCTAGTCAGAGCAGAAAACATGACTGAATAATCTTCTTCTCGGAAGTGGTTGGAACACATGGCCGAGTATTTTGTGGGCTTCCAATGTGCANAAATATATGAAGTTCATATATTTTGAACTGCGGTATTAGATACGTATGATGCACGATCCTCGCAGTAGATAGCGCTATTTATGCATACACATACATACATACATACATACATACATACATACATACATACATACATACATAGCTTAATTGACTACTCCCCATAGGGGCTTTTCAGGACCAATCCCTACCCATCCCACCCAGGGGAGGACATCCACCACACAGTAATCTCGTGCATGGGAAATTAACGTCTCCTACCCCAAACCCTGCAGGAGACGAGACCTACGATTTATTCGTCCTTATCCGAGAAGACTAGAATATCTATCCATTTCTTGATTTTAGAAAGGTAGCAAATTCTCCTCACTTATTTTAAGACCATGAGTATTGGTCCGGCCGGGGCCATGTTGAATTTCCAAGTAGTCTTTGTAAGTTCAGCGCGGGAAGCGATCGCAATGCCAATCGTATAAACATGGCGAAAAGAGATCGTGGGTTAGGGTTAAAGCAAAGTAACATTTAAATGGACTATTCATGACTTCCCCCGATGTAAAAGGGTTTTTTTTTAATATTGATCGGGAAAAAAATCGAATCTCACTATTTTTTGTAGAATCTCCAGATCTTTTTTTTTATGGGTCTCCAGATTTTCCTTTATCAGGAGTTGGCAGTTCTGTAAACAGCAGTTTATGAGCAGGGTACATCAGGCGTTATTAGAGAGAATGAAGTCAAACTTAGGCTCATGAGTACCTCTGTGGCATTTCTCTTGGTTCATCCTCTCGACTGAGACTTGAAGGCTATGAGAAAATTTATGGTAACCAGTCAACTACAGATCAAGACATCTCACTAACTCGAACTTCTCGCCAGGGGCATTTAATTTTGCGATTCAAACGTTCCCAACATCATTCTATTTTTCAAATGTCTTAACTTTAGACTGCACGAAAGATAATCTAGGGAATTTTTACGAATCTAGTGATTCAAATAAAGATGATAGCTACATCTTTATTCCATGTGCGAAACCTTTAAATTGCAAATTAACTTTCTTTAACGACAGAAGAACGTCACCTACCAGTAAGACCAGTTAATAATCTGTGTATTTGTCGATACATATCATGTATATGTTGTTTTTTTTTTTTTCCGTGATTTGATTTTGTATATGGGGATGAAATTTCGCGTGTTTGAATCCGCAAGGATTTTAATTCGCAGGTCTTCATTTTCACGATTTTTTTTTTTTTACAATCCCGAAAACGCGAAATTAAGTCCCCCCAAAATTCAGTACCAATAACCAAGTACCAAGTTGTGGATTGTACGTCCTGATTCGTCCTTCTTGTACTTCCAAAAACGAAGTTCAGTTCAGTTCTGGAATTTTGGTTTAATACACTTAGAGTGGTTAACTCTACACTAGGACCGATTCAAGTTGGCATCCCTCAAGGGAGCTTCCTCGGCCCTTTGTTGTTCTGGGTCTTTATCAACGATCAATGATAAAGGCCTGGAGTATTGTGAGGTCGCCCTCTGCAATAATGATTTAATACAGCATAATGAATGCACGCAAACAAATTGACTGAGTATGACTAAAAAGCCACTGATTTCTGTGTGAGATTGTATGAC